AGTATCAGGCCTGTCACTCCCTTCAGATATTTTAAATATGGGGAAAAGGGCAATGCAGCTGGATGCAGTGGTTCGCCCCTGGAATTCCAGTGACTAGGGAGGCTGAGGTAGGAGGATCCAAGTTTAAGACCAGCCTCTGCAATTTAGTGAGTCCCTAAGCAACTTAGTGAATCTCTGTCTCCAAAAAAAAAAAAAAAGAAGGATGGGGATGTAGCTCAGTGGTAATGTACCCTTAGATTCAATTTCTAATACCAGGGAAAAAAAGGGATGGGAGATGCTGAGACCCTATGGCAGTGACATCAAATCCAATACCTCATGATTCCTTGTGCAATCATTCTCTACCTAAAGATAATAACTTTCAGATGAGAAATTGGGAAAGGGTTAATGCATTGAAGCACTGAATGCTAATTCTGAATTGTAGAAACACAAGACCCTAGGTAAAACGTGTTATTACTTAAAAAATGGGGCTGCTTTATGAAGAAGATTAACAGAGTATGTTTATCCAACAAAAATGCCTCATTGCAGTGCTTTAAATTATGAATCTGCTTTTTCTGAAATAACCAAAATCATAGCATACTAAATATATAAGGTGGGTATCTCAGCTGAATAATACTGTTTTAGTTTGAAAGCAGATAAAACTACTATATATGTAATAAAATACTAGTTTTGTTATTTATTACACAATAAAACTTATTGAGATGGGAAATTTTAGGAATTCTCCAAACACTTTTGCAATAACAATGTTCCTGTCATGTTCCCAATATGACAACTAAGAATGGTGATTTAATTAGCTGTTTTGGTGCATTTTCTTACAAAAGAATAGCAGCCTTATAAGTTTATATTCATATTACATATTAAGAGTAAATTAACAACTTATACTTATCAGTAAATCCTAATTTACTGGTTTAATCATGAGACATTAAACCAATGATTATTAAATTACTCTAGAAATGCAGATGTAAATTTCACATTCTCAAAAAGAAGCCAGGACCACCATGGATATTTTGAGGGAGTTTCAAGAAAATTAAAAAAAAAATGAATACTGTAGAATCCTAAATCTTTTGATGTAAATAAATCCATTGAATGGTGTGGCTTTTAAGTGTCGTCTGATACTGAAATATCAGTGCAAAGAGCCTGTTGTATTTATCTTAGAGAAATGTTATAGTGAGAAAATTTGAACAACAGTACCCTTCTTTTACTAAGAGCAAAAGAACTGTTCATTGGGACTCTTTGGCCCTAACAAAGTAATCACCTATGTAAATGAAACTCTGAAAGTCAACACAGTTCTCTTCTCTAGAGAGCAGATGATCTAGATTCGGGCTCATCTAACCATCTACCACTAGAGAAACTGCTCCTTTATATATAATAGAAGTCAAGATTTGTACTGGGAATAAGGATCCTCTCATTTAATAATTGGATATGGCATAAAAATTAGAACTTTATTGAACTTGTTTCAAATATAAGCCTTTATCAAGTATATTTTTCAAAATTGGAAGTACTTTTTAAGTAATGTGACAACAAGGACAATGTAAGCAAGCTTGGTAATTTCAGGAATTATTTTAGAAGCCTGTATAGCAGCAGAAGGTTCTGAAGGATATCTTAACGAAGCAGAGTAGTTCTGATGAGATTAAGCACATTTTTCAGGACAATAAATATGTTATTGTTTAATATACTATATTGTCTTCTGGGATGATAGTCTAGTTATAAAAATGATGCCTTATTATAGAGAACTGGATGAATAATTTTTGTGGAGATCAGAGAAGAAGAATTTAATTACCCATGTTTTTCAATTCCATAAAGTGTTCAGAGAAGTATAATTTTAACCATTGTTATAAATTTAATTAAACTAGCTGCAAAGTAAAAAAACTATCTTCCACAAAATGCAGGATACATTTTTAAAAATACTTAATATATTTAAAAAGTGAATATACAACCTGATTATTTGAAAATAAGAAGAGCAAAAATTCATAAAGCCATTGAGAGTGTGCCAACTCCTAAGTCATATAGAAATATACCAAGAGCACTGGGCTACTGTATTTCTGTGGTTCTGCCACTATTGCTGAAAATGAAACTTAATTTGGCAAATTAGGCTCTTTGACAAAGTATCATATGGATGCCATGTGACAGTCTTGTGGTTGTTAACTGAGCTGTCAAGATAGATGATTTACAAAAAGAAGTGGGTTTTGTTTGTTTTTTAATGAAGAATCAACTTTTGAAATCCAACCAAAACATAGCAGAAGTTTTCTGTCTTTAAGAACTATCCATTCTTTTGGATTGTGAGAGTGTGAGAAACAGGTGCTTACATGTCGAAGGTCTCATTACCCACAATTCACTTTTGGTAGTTTCAGGTTCCTGCAGTCAAACATGATCCAAAAATATTACATGGGCACAGTGGCCCATGCCTGTAATCCCAGGGATTCTGGAGACTGAGACAGGAGGATCGCAAGATCAAAGTTCCAGAAAGAAACAATTCATACATTTTAAACTGGATGCCATTCTGAGCAGCATAATGAAATTCTACTCCATCCAACCCAAATGTTAATTATCCTTTTGTCAAGTGTATCCATGCTGTATTTCTTATTTGCCTTTTAGTTACTCAGAAACCTTTATTTTAATTAATAATGGGTAAGAATAAGTGTGATTACAGTGCAGATTTTCCAGAGAAAAGATATAAAAATTATTTCTTTATGTAAAAAGTTGAAATTTCTCAACTTAATGGCTTAAAAAAAATACAACATAAATAGGGTTAAGTACTATCTGCAGTTTCCGGTATGCACTGGATGTCTTGGAAGGTATCCACTGTAGATAAGTGGGAACTAATGTATTGCCACTAGAACTGCAAATTGATGTATCAAAGACAATTGGGGCAATTCAAATACCAAAAATTCTCACATATTTGTACACATTGTGATCCAGCAATTTTAATTCTAGACATTTATCCTAAAGAGGTAATCATAAACAGAGATGAACCATATATCAATATGTACATCAGAATATTGTTAATAATATTGAAACATTATAATTCTGTAAAATAAATAGAGCCTTGTTTAAATAAATTGTGTACACGAGTAAAACAGAATGCTATAATAATTAAATGAAATTATGAAAGTATACTTAATCATCTGAAAAATTCTGATTTTATATTTCAAGATAATGTTGAATTTATATATAAAGAAAGTACTGAATTGATAGATTAAAATGATTTTACATCAATACAATTTATTTTTGTAAAAATATGCAAAATTGCATTGAAAATATTTTGAATGGAAAAACTGAATATGTTAATGTCTCTTATTCTTGGGTAGTATCATTAATAGTATAAGTTTTACTTTTTTATTTCTATTTCCTGAATTTTCTTCACATAAATTTTTTCTGAAGAATGAGATTTCACTGGGTGTGGTGGTCATACACCTGTAATCCCAGCGGTTTCAGAGGCTGATACAGGAGGATTGTGAGTTCAAAGCCAGCCTCAGTGAAAAGCCAGGCACTAAACAATTTAGTATAGACCCTGTCTTTAAATTAAGTACAAAAAATAGGGCTAAGGATGTGGCTCAGTGATCGAGTACCCCTGAGGTCAATCCCTGGTAACAAAAAATGAGAATGGGATTTCAAAGAATTCTATCAAATATTGAAGAGATATTCAAATAGTTGCAAATGTAAAAAAAATTTAGATATAATTTTTCCTGATAAATAATTATTAAAAATAATAATACTTAGTTTTATCAGGTGTATAGTGAAGTGTACTTTTAAAATAGGCACAGACTGACTGGCTGGATGTGGTGGCACTGGCTGGGTGGTGGTAATCCTAGGGGCTCAGGAAACTGAGGCAGGAGAATCGCAAGTTCAAAGCCAGCCTCAACAATTTAGTGAGGCCCTAAGCAACTTAGTGAGACCTTGTCTCTAAAAAAATATATAAAAAGGGCTGAAGATGGCTCAGTGGTTAAATGCTGCTGAGTTCAATTCATAGTAAAAAAAAGAAAGAAAGAAATAAAATAGGCAGACTCTTTAACAAAGATAATCCACTTTTCAAAATGTGTTACAAGGATATCACTAAACCTACACAATTATGAATGCCAACAGATTATTTATGTGTTTTTCATTTAAAATATTGGTAGTAGATATAATAATATTCACTTATTAAGTAGAGTTTGCTTTAAAATATAAAACAAAGGAATTAATAAATCAAATTGTTAAGGGTGAGAACAAAGATTATTGACATTGAAATACACTCAAGAGGTAAATGTTAAGCAAAAAAACATGGTATAAAATGGCATACTGAATAATCCTGTTTTTAATCAACTGTATATATAAGGATGAAGAAAACTCTTAAAAATGATTCCAAACAAATATTCTCTAGGACTGGCAAAATTATGAAAAACTTTTCTTTTTTATTACTTTGTTCTAAAGTTTTATAATATGAACATGTACTATTCAGATAGATATTGAATTTTTAAAGTGCTTTTAAATTTTAAATTAAGTATGGGAATTCTGAGATTTTACCAATTCTGCTTACATAAGGTGACTGAACCATGATGAAAAAAGGGGAAAATATAATCTACCAGTATTTTAGGCATGTGAAAACCTTGCTACCTTTTTGAATAAATTATTAAACTAAATGTCTAAAAATGGCATTTCAGAATTTAGATATTACTCATCTTTTTAACAGTGACCATCATTTTGCCCAAAACAAATAATATTTTAATTTTAACCTTTTTTTCTTCTTTTCTTTTTGGTACTCAGGATTGAACCAGGGCTACTTTATAGATGAACTGCATAACCAGTTCTTTTTACTTTTTTAAGACAGGACCTCACTAAGGGCTGAGGCTGGCCTCGAACTTGCAATCCTACTGTCTCAACCTACCAGTATTTTAATTTTAAGAGCTTTTTTTTTTTCCTTCCATGGGAAACAAAACTGACAAAGCATTTTTATTTATTTACATGTACACATGATACAAGATAGAAAGTGACGGTTAAAGGGGAGAAAAAGCCATGTTACTTACTCTTGTTGTATAAGCAGCTTCTGGATCATCCTCTAGAACACGTGAAAGTCCAAAGTCAGAAACCTTACACACCAAATTACTGTTGATTAAGATGTTCCGGGCAGCGAGGTCTCTGTGTACATATCCCATATCTGACAGGTACTTCATGCCAGATGCTATACCACGAAGCATTCCCACCAGCTGGATGACTGTAAACTGGGCATCATGTTTCTGCAAAACATTTCCAATATGCCAAGATATGTCACTATAGCCAAAAAAATATCTTTTTTTTCTTTAAAAATCATACATTCCCAAATTTGTAATGAAACTAATTATACATGTTTTAGCTAAAAGCACTCAAGACTAACAAGATGTGTAGAGATAGACAGATGCAAGCCTATAGCAAAATTGCATACAGGCTGTAATTCCAAAACTATATCATGTAATCAAAACCAGCTTCAAAAATAGAAGTTCTCCATTCTTTATATGATATGCAAGCTCTTTCTCAGAAGCATTAAATTCAAGAACAAAAAACTGCAATGGATCTATTGAAGGCTTATACTATGTGATTGAATTTTCATTATCCCTTCTTGGTTTCTATATATTTTATAAATTACTTCAAATAAAATAAAATACTAAATTTTAAATGATGATCATAAATAATTAGTACCTAATTAGGACAAAAATTATTGATTGATTTTTTTTTTGTATTTTGAATTAGTCCTGAGTAATCAATCCTCATTTGTAGGTCATAAAATAGAAAGCAAAAGAAGACAAAGTCATAGATGGAGTCTTAGATTTAGAAAAAACCTCCAATTCACTTGGATTCAAATAGAAACATACAGATTAAAATATATATATAATACACTAACATGAAATTCTACATCTACATATATTTACTAAAACAATAATATTAAGTGAATGCCTATTATAATAGTTCAATCACCTGATTTGGAATATGTTTTTGAAGTCCTTATGAAAATAATTTAAAAACTGTATTTGGCATGTGAATATTAAAGTAGGCCAATTCTCACTCCAAGACAATTTAGAATTTTCCTCCATGATTATTAATAACAGTATATATTTTATGTATCAAATTATGTATCATCTATCTCAATTTACAAAGTATTAAAAACACTTTGAGGACAGAGCTATATATTCTCTGATCCCCTACAGACTAGTGATTGCCATTGCAACTCAAGACACTGCAGACTCTTGAATGCCATAAAATTTTTGCATTTATTTGCAAATAATATTTGTTGAAACATTAAAATAAAGGGAAATAAAGAAAAAGGATGAGTATGGGAATTGGAAAGACAGTCGAATAAATCTTACATAACATTCCTGTGTTCAAATATGAATACTCAACCAGTAAATCTCGACATCATGTTCAACTATAAGAATGAGATCCTAATTAGAATGCGTTTTACTCCTTGTATGTATAATATGTCAAAATACACTCTACTGACATGTAGATCTAAAAAGAATGAATAAAAATATAATAAAAAATTGAAAATGATATATCAAATGTAGTAAAATACAAAGATTGTAAATTTAAAAATAGTCTCTCTCTATATATAATATATATAACAAATATATTTTATATATATATATATAATATATATATAACAAAATGACATCCCTCAATTGAGACTATACATCTTTTGCTTTATAGCATTTGATTAGTTTCTGAGTGACAGCACTATGTGAGAGGTAGATGATCTATCTTAGAAGACCCAGAGGTTACTTATTTTAAATAAAGAAAGGGTAGTATTTCTGTCATATATCAATGTAATTTGTGTCTTGTTTTAGACATTTTTTTTAATTTTTAGGTTTTTTTATTCGGATGTGAATCTTAGCTTTACAAAATACCCTGAATAAAATTGTACAAATTTGTTTTTTT